CTTGGACACTGAACTGCCATGGGCTACACCTGTGCAGGGGTTCCAGGTCATCTCCATGAATAGTCCTTGGTTGGAGTATGATTTTCTGGGAAGTTCCCTGTGTTCAAATTATCTTGTTCTGTTGCTCTCCTTGTGGAGTTCCCGTCCCCTCCAGCTCTTACTATTTCCCACTTCTTACATAAAACAACCTTGAAACCTGCCACAGAGGGCCTCTGAAAGCTTCTGCAGTATAGACTGTCAAAGCAGATGCTGAGCCTGATGCCCAACTGATGGGCAGAGTGAATGGAATTTTATGTAAGGTGACTCATTTTAACTCTTTCGATGTGTATGTACTTTAAGAAACTTCAGAATAGTAGATTTCTATATATCTTTTTCAAAAGCTCTTTAGTCTTATCTTCCCCATATTCCATATCCCCCCTACATACAGTCTGTTCCCCAACTCCAGTTTAACTCTTCCTGTATCTGAATGCCCTTTTACCTCTTTACATCAGTACATTCTATACTTCCTAATCAGTCCCTTCTGATGGCTTCTTAGTAATTTCTTGACATCTATGGGTATTCTGAGCAAAACAAGCATAACTTCAGTGCTTACATTTATAGTGAGTTTTTAAAGGTGTTTTCAATGCATTTACTATCTTTTCAGAAACTTAAAAACATGATAGTCTTAGAAAATATTTTCGTCTAACTTTCTTTTTAACTCTGTGAACTTACACACATTTTTAGGAATAATAACCTCTAGTCATTATTCAGCAATAGACTAGTAAAATAATAACTACTTATCCTGAAATTGAGCTCTCAAGAAGTTTCCTTACAGCTTCATGCAGATATTTTTTAAATGTTTCCTAGGCTGCTAATAGTAAGTATTACAAAGGCAATGCTTTTCTTTATAGGGGTCTCCAAAATTCTAATAAATTTGGGGGAATCCACAACTATGAGTGCATAGGTCTTTTTCATTTTTATAGTTTATTTAAAACTCTACAGCTTTCCATTCAGTGGATATTTAAGTCTGGCTCCTTCGACTGAGATAAGAATTGAGAAATCACCTCGGCCTCTTGTATTAACTGTCCATGTTGTTCACAAGTCTGCAGCCTGTTCAGAGAATAAATTCACATCTTTGAACAAGTCAAAAGTCATTTGATAACAAAAGAATCACACATAAAGAATCACAGGGTCTGAGAATCATTTCTGACATGAACTCAAAGACTGGCTCATTGAGTGTCCCCTCCTCCCAAGGGAGAAGCAGCCTTACTAGGGTACCGATAAGGACACTGCAGCCAGTCCTGAAGATACCTGATAAGCTAGGATCAGAAGGAAGGAGAGAAGGACCTCCCCTATCAGTGGACTTGGATAGGGGCAGGGAGGAGATGAGGGAGGGGAGGATTGTAAGGGAAAAAGGGAGGGGGCTACAGCTGGGATACAAGTGAATGTATAAAATTATTTAAAAAATAAAAAAAAAGAATCTCAGGGTCTGAATGTTTATATAGATTTTAAATTAATTCTCCTGTTTTATCTGTACCATGTATGTACAAACATAACCTCATGGCTCTAGTACTTAGGCTCAAAACATCTGGTTTCTTAACTGTTGTGTTCTTCCTCCTTTACCTCAGGAGGTACTCCTAGGAATGTATGTGGTCTCTCTCTAGTCTCTCTGTGTATGTGTGTGTAGGTATGTATGTGTTAGAGGTTTTCATGTATATTAAATAAATCAGTCTTTCTGCTAGCAATGGCATAGTACATTGACACATTTCCTTCTCTGCTTTTCTGATACTCTTCCTCTTCTGTTTGTGGACTTCTGCTTATGCTTTGATTTGGATTTGGGAACCTTTTGCTTTTTTTTTGTCATAAATATAATCATGATGTTTCCAAAATGTATATACCACTTCATTTAACAGATATTTTCTGTGTAACAACAAGTCCATAAATGATGGTTTTATGTACTATAACAGTGAAATTGAAAATGTTCTATGTTTTATTTAGCTGTTCTGTAATTGATTTAGTTCTACCCTTTTAGTAGAGACCCTATATTGTATAGTACTGAAAAATGTAGCTTCCTTTATATTTTCCTCCTAGGTGAGATGAGGTTATTAAGTATGCTTTTACTAATGAAAACCTGAGCATAGAAGTACATTCCTGTAGCCCCAGATGCTCAGCAGACTGAAACAAGAGGATCATTTGAATCTTAATATCCATCCCTACCTCCCAGCCACCATTTTATAAGAAATTTGAGTGGAGACTGGCATTTGATATCCATCCTGTAATCAGTCCCCACTGATACTAAGAGATGACTTACTCCTTGTCTGAACTACTTTCCGTTGGTTGCTCTGGTGTCTAACAAACCATCATTTCATGCTTTGATGTATTGTACAGATATACTTCATATCACTTGTATCTAATTTGATTCTAACATGCTTTCCATAATTCTCCATCACTGCTGTGACTACACTATCCAAGTTGTCACTATTTTTCACATGAGCTGTGGAGGTAGGTTTGTTAATGCTTTTCCTGTTTCATCTCTTGCCCATTCATTTGTTTCTTTTTTGCAGGGTCTTGCTATATAGCTCAGACCAGCCTTGAATTTTCAAGTCGTCTTCTTCCTTAGGTCCCTGACTGCTGGGATTATAGACATGTACAACTTTTTCAGACTTTTTGTGGAAACATTATGAAAATATAATCTGCTTTCAGTTTTCTTTTTATCACTTTTACAGTCTAGATTTGAAAATTATTAAGCCTTGATAGATAGCATTATCTTACTTGGTTGATAACATTTTCTCAGACTTAGATACATCTTCCCTGAGGCAGCTCTTCTGGAAATTTACTGTATGCCCCTTTCTTCTAATGGAAAAGTACAGTGAATCCTTTTTATCAACACAGGCCTAGCATAGGCTCTATAATAACTGCAACCTTGCATTTTTCATTTGTTGTACCTTCCTAATATATCAAAGTTAGCTTAAAAAAATAGTAATAATAACCATTATATATTCTAGAAAGCTTAGTCAAAGTGAAATGTCACATATTAAGTATTTTTAGCTTTCATTAAGTTGGTCTTAACCTTATATATAGTTACAGTGGTCTGAATGTTTACTTTTTGTGGAAGTGTTGGTTTTGTTTTTACTTCTCCTAAATATTTTTAATGAACTGGTCAACCTGGGTGGTCTTAAGTTGACCATCTACTCTCATTATTTTATCTAAAGTAAATAAAATTGAAAACAGAAGAAAACTCTCTATCTCCTCCTACATGTAGGAATTGAGAATTATAACTAAAGGTACACCATTATTACATTATTTCTTTTTCTAACCAGTTATTATTCTGGTCACATAAAACTTGTTGAATCTATGTTTAGGTTATCCCAGAAAACAGGTGGCTATTTTTTCTATCATTTGGAAGGCATTGTTTGCAATATGTTATTTTAGAGGTAACTACGAATTGATTATTGATAGAGTGTTGTAAAGTAAACTACCACCTTGTTATAAAGTTGTAATTCTTTGATTTGAAGCACCTTTTTCTTTCCAGAGCATTTCATTGAACCCCAAATATTATCTAGTCCTGGAAAATCCCTCCATTTTTCAGCAAGGTATTAATGTGCACACTACTCGAAGTGAGTTACCCAAGGTCACTCACTGGGTCTTTGGTAAAACCAGAAATAGAATTCAAGTCTCTTGACTCCCAACTCGGTTCTCTATCCTCAATATAGTTTTCTGTCTTCTATACCTCTGCGTCTCTCATGGGAAAAGAAGTTAATCTTCTAGCTATTATTAGCCACCAAATTGGTGGTAGCAGCACAGTGGAGAAAAGTGACTGTCTTTACACTGCGGCATTAGTATAAAAATATCTGGTAATGGAAAATTTGACAAATGTCATGTTAAAGGGAGTGGAAAATTATTTTAAGATCTAGATCTCATTTGTCTAGTTCTCAGAAAAGTCAAATTCCTTAGTAGAATGGAGATCATTTTTTTCTTCCTGTTTTTAAATTGTATTTCCTAGAGGGTAATTGTCAACTATCATAATAAGAATAATACACATACTGCTGGTAATTGCCATACATGTATTTTTAACTTAGCAGGAATTCTGAATTGCCTTATTGAAATACATAGGTGCTATTATCAGTATTTAGGTAGTATTAACTAATAAAATAAATATAACATCAATTGGGAGCTTTTCTTATTTTAAAAATGCATGGAAATACTACATAATTTTATGACGAGTATATGCTAGGCTAATATATTTCGTGTAAGGTCTCTTGAAGTTCATTACACTCAAGCAGGCAGAAGACCAAATGTAAGATTAACGTGCACAAATTATATTGTTAAGCATACTGTCATCATTTGGACATTATTATTTGAAAAATATTTATATATTTAAATGCTGAGGTCTCTGAGAACTTTATAAATTTTACTAGAACAATTTGTTTATTAATTTTGAATCAGACACAAAAAATTGCCTTAGCATGTTTGTTAACGATTATGAAAAGCCCTTAATTAAAAGGATTGTACAATCACAGTTGTCTTAATTGTATGTATTTTTAAAACATAGAATTCATTCATGGAAACGTTGACAAATATAAAGGGAAATGGGGTTACTGCTGTCTAAACAAGATTGCCACTTAGTCCTAATGAGCTGGTGTTAACAGTAGGTTAGGTATTCATATCTGTACTTAAAAATATTAAATACTTGTTCTTAACCCTAGGACAGACATGAATGCTTGAAATTGCTTATGAATTGGTAGAAATGGTGTCTAAAGGTGGCTATACATATACATCTGTTGAACTTATACTAAGAATTTCTACTCTATGCAGTAAATTTACTATTAAAGCTGTTAACAATTAACCATATTGTATTCCTTTCCTACTTGGTTATTCTCTTTATGATTTCCATCAAATTTCTAATATGTTCCTAGGGATTTTATTTTTCTTATTGAAAAATAAAATTGAAATTGAAATTTTGGGGATAAATATTGAAGCAACATTATTGAACTTACTAATTTTATAATTTTATTGCATAGGCACATCCTTGAGTGAACCTAACTTGCTTAAAATTACTCCACAAAAAAGAGCCAGAAGAAAATTAATTCCTTGTTCCTTGAAAGTAAAACATACTCAGAAGTCTACATTTTCTGAAAGTACACAGCTCAATAATTCTTTCAGCAAAGAACTTCAGCCTATTGTTTATACCCCAGAGGACTACAGAAAACCTCAAGAGCCGTCTCCAACCTTAACAAGACCTTTGCCACATACTGCAGGTGTAATCAGTGACAATTCCCTGAAAGCACTGTGTAAAGTAGACTCTCCTCTCAGCAGCAGAACCGAGGGTGAACAGGGTTTAGACTCTACAGTGATTATATGTGATGACATCAAGAGCTCGAGGAATCAATTGCCTGAACAAGAATCACTACCAAGCAGCAAAAGCATTTTGCAGAGGTACAGAGACAGAATATTTTACAATTCTTTGTTTTTCCAGAGTCTTTCAATTGATTAACTTTCGTTCTCTTTGTTTATATTGGATTTTTATTTCATAGATCAAGTGTCCTCTCTTTAATATGAAAGTTGCTTGTTTATCAGATTTTCACTGAGTGTGGATTTACTAGCCACTTCTTAAGATTAGAAATTTTATATTTTAAGTCAGTTGATCTTGGGATATATTTCATTTGTTCTCTGTATTCTGATGCTATGTAGCCTAAGCCATCAATGAAAGACTACCTTGCTTCCTGATCGATACCGCATTTGAGAAATATCCAAAAATCAACATATTCAGACATCTAATGTATGATTGACTAAATGTCGTTTAAGCAAGCATTCAACTACATAACAACATTCAATCGAAATATGGCAAGAAAGATACCTCTACATGTCTTTGCTATGAGGGATGCAGAAATGTCTTGACAACACCTTTAACTGGTGTTTTTAAAAGAGAAAAAGACAATTGAAGGAAATTTTATTGCATAGTGGAATATCTTTCTATGTTAATATCAGTGGTTTCCTAATTATAATAGTGTAAATCTTTGTAGTATAAATCAAATTTGTTCTCTTCAATCTTTCATTCTTAATATACAGGCTTGAGTCTTCTTCATTTTCAACTAAGGATTCTAGGACTGTATCAACAAGTGTACCATCCTACATGGCAATGACAACTGCTGCAAAGAGGAAATGGAAACTAACAAGGTATTATTGAACAGGCATCGTTTCAGTCTCCATATAAGATTATCTTCATGCTTTCATTTTCCACAACTTGTTGTTATTACTAGACTCTCACTTATTATTTAATCATCTTCACTAAGTACACAGTAAAATCCAAGAATTTCACTTGAAGTTTACATAAAGTATCCCATTTTTAGATTATTAAAAATAAACTTAAAAACTCTTCCAGCTTCCAAACTGTCACTGTGTTCTTACTTTAGTTCTGGTGACAATTTTTTATTTGTCCTGAATTTCCTTGTTCCTAGAGTTCAGTTGTTTTAATGAATACAATGAAGTGAAGAATCTCCTCAGTCTGCCCATGACACTGTAACTCATATCAGACCAAGCTACCAAGCAAGAACAATTTAAATTGTCATTGAATTATAGAAGCTAAATAAAATACAACTATCAGCTTATTGAAGGCACTGACAAGCAACTGTGATTGCCAGGACTTGAGAATGTAGCATCTAAGAAAGCAGCATGCTACAGGAAGCCTACTTTAATTAACCACACCTCCTTGACTTTTGGATTTGTCAGTTCATAGCATAATGCTAGAGGCCAAACAAAAGAAACCTAAGTGATTGAGGTGATTGACAGTTCTCACTGACCTAGGGACCCAAGTTGTTCTGGTGACCTTTGCCTTAAAGGCGTCCCATCTTCTAAGTTCTGTGGGTAGCTGCTGAAAGACTAGTGTGTTAATCAGTTTGACATTCTTTGGTACAAAGGTTTCGAGTCAGAAGATATGGAAGAAGGGAACCTTCTAAAAACCTCTGGATTTTATTTGAAATTTAGAAGTGCTGTGCCCTAGACGTAGAACAAACAAGAAATAAACCAGTTCTTAAAAGCCTGAAACAGATCTTAGACCAACGAAGTCTTTGCTTAAATTCGGGTGCTCTATATCCCACATTCTTCTAAACTAAAACTAATCTTAAGCCAAAATTATAGAATGTCAAGACACACAACCAAATAAATGGCTTAAAGAAAGGAAACCAGTCAGAGGAACAGTAATCCATAGATGATATAGATAAGATTAGCAAAATATGACCTTTTGATAGTAGCCATGATTAATTTCAGCAGACTAGATAAGATAGAAGATTGGCAAAAGTACTGTATTCTGTTAATCAGATAGCTATCCTAGAACCACAAAGATAGATTTTGCTGAAATTTAAAACTCAGCCAACTAGTTTAATGGATTAACATAACAAAAGAGAGTATTAGTGAACTGGAAGGTTGATGTATAGAAAAATGCCTAAACAAATAAAAAGAAGAAACAGAAAGAAAACAAAAAAGTGGGGGATATCTGTAGAACCGTACTATTTTCTGGAAATGTGTATTTTCAGTCTCCAAGAGAAGAGAAAGAATAGAGATAATTGGTATTTGATAAGATAGTGGCTAATAGTTTTCTAAAACTGACAAAGGCCATTAAATCACCAATTTGAAAAAGTACTACAAATCACAAATGTGATGAATACAAGAATAGCCTAAGCTGTATGACATATCATAGGTATACTCACAATATATACTAACTAAATATGAAATGGTCTTACTTTTTCTACCCCTTTTCCTTTCCAATAGTATAGAGAGAAAAGTAGAACACCTAAAGTTAACTTCTATGAATTTCTTATTTTCTTCTGTGAACTTGTTGCATTTGGACTCCAGGACACAAATTCACAATAGCATAGTTATTCACACTTCATAATTTTTTTTCTTTTAGGTGAATTTAGTGTCTTCTCTTGCCCTTTCAACACGCAGAACAAAGGAAACTTGAAGCATATAGATAAATTGATTTTTGTTCCTGTCTATCTATGGCACTTAAACAAATGATACAGTAGTCCCCTCACCCCTTGGTTTTGCTTTCTGTGTTTCAGTTACCAGCACTCAACTAAGATTTTAAAACATTAAATGGAACGTTCCAGAAATTGACAATTTAAATTTTCTTTGCATACCATTCTGATTAATAGGATAAGATCTTGTGGTATCTCTGCACCCTACTATGTCAGCTATTCCTTTATCCCGTATATGCATGCTGTGTGTGCTGCCTGTTGGTGAGCTACTTAGTAGCAGTGTTTACAAGACCACCTGTACAAGATAAGCAGATCTTGGGGTTCAGATAATACTTGCTTAGCAAAGTAGTTTTCCATGTACAGAAGACAATTGATGCTGGCAATTAGGTTTTCCAAACATAAGTCATAGCTGCTTCCTTTGGACAAAAAGTGAAAATTTAGGAGAAAACAAAGCAAATTTTAGGCTGAAACCCATCCCCTGAGTTCAGGACCGCCCTGAGTGGCAGTTTTGGAATAGTGTTCTGTGGGCTAGTTCTGCTTTACTTTGCTCAGGTGTCAGTCTAAATTGTGCAGTTAGTCTGACACACGCAGTTACTTTCTGCATTACCCACTTCAGCACTACTTCATACTGTCTCAGTTTTGTCGTTCTTCTCACTAATTAATATTAAGTTTTCTGGATCGTTACATGCTTTCATGTTTTTATTAACATTTTGCAAATGTTTATACTAAAAATGTTCTTTACACGGTTATAATTAAATATGTATTCTCAGAAATGTCTAGTTATGTAAAATGTGTATTTGTGGGTTTAGATATGTTAAGGACTAGCACGCGAGAAGCCGATACTGTGAAGTAATATTAAAGAATACAATATAGAAAATAACTTAACTGTTCACAGACTGTTAGTTACTACTCTGTTACATTCCCTCTGGTATTAATAATTAGATCCTGCCATTAAATAAGGTTAAAAAAGATTAATGATAGATGTGTGCATAATTATTTTTTTAAATCTTCCTTTTCCCCAATTAAAGATAGATGAGCTTAAAAGCAATAAGCTCTGGTATTTTCCAGTTAGCAGATTTCATGTACATATTTAGGGTATATATGTTCTAATATAGTCTTAAAATATTAAAACATCTGGTGTGTACTTTATATACTGTTCACCTTTTTCTTCTTTAAAAAAAAAAGAAAATTAGAGCCTAAAAGCCCTAGATATTACAAAATTAGTTTTATCTGATTAAATTTAATTTTAACAATGTTTTAAAAAAATTTTAATCTTTAACATCACTGGATTTTTCACTCCTTATGACATATCTCTACACTGTATATAGTAGCAAGCAATGCTTAAATGTTCATTGTGGCAAAGCACCTGGGAAATATTCACATAACTGCTACCTGTACCCAGAATCATCTAAACTATATTGGCATCATTAATGTCACAGATAACTAGATTTATTTTCTAAGTAATTTTAGTGCCTCCAATTACTTACGCAGGATTTCACAATTATTATTTCTGTATTTGACTTCTTTTATCATTACAATATATGGTACATGAATTAAAGATATTTTTGAATGCCTTAACTAAAAGGAAAACTTTTCTCACAAGTTCTCCATCAAATGCTCCATTAAAATCCAACGAGAATCATGGATGTGCCAAACGCATTCGAAAAGATAATTCAAGTGATAAGATCTTGCAAGAAAACAGACCAACAGTAGGTATGTCTGAGCTGTTAATCTCATATTTAATTACATGACTATCTGTCATAGTAGCTTGGTTTTATGTCTTTAGTAATATCTCCTTTCATATTTTGCAGTAAGATGGATATGATTTTTAGACATAGAAAAGGAAACTTAAGATACATTATGAAGCATATATTCAAGAGTGTACAAATACTAAAGTAGAACTAGAAATCATGACTAGATTTCTTTTCTTAGTTGTAGTAATAGTAGTATTTACAATTTACTCACTTCGTATCCCAGCTGTAGTCCCCTCCATCATCTCTTCCCGGTCCCACCCTCCTCCCTCTTCCTCCCCTATCCTTCTTCCCTAGTTGACTGATAGGGGAAGTCCTCCTCCACTATACTCTGACCCTAGCCTATCAGGTCCAATCAGCACTGTCTGGATCCTCTTTCTCTGTAGGCTAGCTAGGTCGTCCCACCAGGGAGAAGTGATCAAGGAACAGGTAACCAGTTCGTGTCAGATACTGTGTCTCCTCCTCTTACTAGGGAGACAGAGCTATCTCTGGGCTATATTTGAATAAGGGGTCTAGGTCCTCTCTATGTATGGTCTTTGGTTGATGCATCAGTATCTGCAGTCACCCTGGGCCCAGAATTTTTTTTTTTTTTTTTTTTTTTTTTTTTTTTGCTTTGTTGGTCTCCTCGTGGGTCTCCTGTCCCCTTTGAGTCCTTTTATATCCTCCTCCTTCCATAGCCCTGGGTCTGTACCTAGAGGTGGAGATCTCAGGAAATCTGTTGTATTTTACATTATGTTAATTTATCATGAATTCCAAGAGTAAAGTTTTGTCAATAAATTGTTTTAGGTTGAATGAACAGTGAGTTTTGAATGATACTTTATCCTTATTTCTTCTCTAGGCTACAGAAGAACCACCAACAAAGTAAATTCGAATGTGCTTAGAAAATTTAGAAGAAATACTTCAAAAGAAAATGTACGATGAAAATTGTAAATGTCTTTTGCCTGCTATTTGTCCCTTCAGAAATGTATTTCAAGTCTGTGAAAGAAAGCCATCTAAAACCGTTTACTCAAATATTTTCAGCAAGCAAAATGAAACTTCTTTTGTATTTAAAATAAATATAAAACTACAACAGGCCATGTTTTCCATTTCTCCAATATTTGTTACTCTTGAAAAATCTCTGTCAACATGATGTCGGTTTAGTTTTATTTTACTACAGCTTGATTTAGGACATTGTAGAAAAAATAGAGAATAACATTGCCCTTATAATTTTCAAAAATGGGAGACTTTAAAAGTCATAAAATTAGGGAGAAGATTTATTTGGTCTTCTATTGTGTGACAATATGTTTTATTCATTCATGTGATTTTGCTTTCTAAAACTTTGGTGTAAAAATATAGATATATGTGTCCGTAACAATACTATAAGGTATTGTTTAAATACCTGCCTTAAATAAAATACTAATATTTTATTACTTTGTGTATTAAAGATGTAGATTTTAAAGTGTTTAGTTTTCCTATTTTATTGTAACCCCTTATATTCTAAATATTAATTTTTATAAGCATGAATTTTTTTAATTTGTTTTTAATATTAGAACAAGATAATATGTACCCAGATCAAATCTGTAAGCAAGCCAGAGGTTTCTTAATAAAGAGGAATGGTGAGAAAACATTTTAATCATTCCTGTTACTATACAGATTACACAGAGCTACAACTTAATTACCTGACCTTGTTCACATGTCTGGTTTGGCCTACTTTCGTGGTCAAAAGTACGAATTTTTACCTAACACACTTTTACATTTGTGCCTTCAAGGAATCTTCACGCCCAACCTAACAGCCATACAACTTATGAGACTTCTTAAAGCTTTTACTTAGCTATTTTTTTTTTTTAATTTAAAATCTGAGAAAGCATGAGACAGAATAATCTTCATGGTTCCTGGATTCCTAGGAGTATAGTCAGAATCTGTCATAGTTAAGGCCCAATAATTTTTCACCATACTCTGTGGTTAGTTTTTTGTTTTGTTGACTCTCAACTTTATTCCTTTCAAATTACTTCAGGTTTCAAAGGAAATCTTTTTACCATATGAATGACAGAAGATTAGTAAATGAGGCCCAAGTTGTTTTAGTGCATAAGGGCACTTGCTGACCTAAGTTGATCCCTGGAACCCCAAATGTTATCATCCATTCTGCACACCCACATACACAAAGCAATGTAAGTCACTGTGCATACCTTCATCCACCTCGTGTCATAAGTTATGGTATTTTCTTACATGATTTTTATCAGAGATTTTCTTTTGGCAAAAATTATTTTACAATAGAGCCATGTTAAGGAGGAAATGTGAGAATAGAAAGCTGTTTTAATATGTGAATAACTTCAGAATATTTGCTTTGAAACTAGAACAAGTATGCTGTTGAGTCATTATACAGCCATTTTAAAGAACTATGTAAAAAGTAGACCAATCAAATATACATTTACGAATATGTACATATATATACGGGGAGAGAGAGTTTAGCAAATCTTCACAAAATGAATATACTTATGAAGTAAAATTGCTTCCTCCTCAGCTGCCTGTGTTCCCAGATGTTACTATTAATTGTTCAGTTACCCACCAAATCATTTATTCTTATATGTGTCATGTGTTGCTCTAACAAAAGCAACTTGAAGGAAAGGTTCCATTTGACTTTTTGAAAGGGTACCATCTATCATGGCCAAAAAACATGGTGGAGGGTACATGCGACAACTGTCCACAGTACGTCTGCTGCTGCTGTTTTGTTCTTGTTCAGTTTGGAACCTTGCTGCCACATTTCAGGGTTGGTCTTGCATACTGAAACTTCTGAAAATGCCGTCATAAACATACCCAGGGGTGTTTTCTTGGTGATTCTAAATCTACTCAAGTTGATAATGAAGATTAATTAACCCTCCAGATTTATACTCTTGTATATGCATGTGTAGATCCTATTTAATTAAAAAGTATCACACTTTTTAATTTTATTCAGTTTCATTTTTTACATTTAAATTCATATATTTGTAAAAAGTTTTTAACTAAATTTCATAAATACTACTGTGATAATAAATAGTAACTAAGCTTAACTATCAAAAGTTTCTCCATTTGTACTATCCTGTTTTTTTTTTTTTTCTTTTTCTGTCCTTTTTGTTTATTCCGCATTGCTTAATTTGACTAGGAATGTCAAAATATGCCCCCCCCCTTTTTTTGTATTTTTAAGAAAGTATTTCTCTGTGTAACAGTCCTGCCTGCCCTGGAACTGCCTTTGTAAGTCAAGATGACCTTGAACTCACAAAGATCCCCCTGCCTCTGCCTCCCATTCTGAGTGCTACGTTAAGGCATCAGGCATGTGCTGCCCTCCCCACCCAGCTCAATAGGGCCATTTTTAACACAAGCACTAAAAAACTAGTAATACCCTTGAGAATATACTTTGAATAATAATGTTCTAGATTAATTTGCTGTTAGCCCCTTTACAAACTCTGATGTCTCCTGTTGCTAATTGATCAAACATGGTCAACCCCAATGTGTTCTCTAACATGGCGGCCAGTCATGTCTCCTTGGATCTGTTTGCAGACAGTTGCAAAGACATCAAAAAACTTCCATGTTCTGAGCATTGCTGAGGAAGGATTTGGAAAGAAGTGGGTTTTTTTTCAACGAATTATTTCAGGACTCATGTGCCAGGGTGCTGACCTAATAAACCACAATGTCACTGGTGGCAAGTGTGTCTATGGGAGGAGATTTGAAAATAAGAACTACACCTTGAGCATACAATGGGGCAAACAAATACTTCTTGGTTTTTCGTCTGTGCTGCTAAGACTGGTTGGATGGCAAACCTCTTTGGGAAAGTGAAAGCCATAGAGCATTTTGAGTTCAGGAACAAGCAAGGTGACCATGATTCCCGAAGAGTAGACACCTCTATTACTTTTTGACTTGTTTGCATATAATACAACAGGCCTTTTTTTTTTTTTTTTTTTTTTTTTTTCTGTAGCTCAAAAGGCTACCCCACCCTCTCAGTTAACAATACCTGTTATTGTCTATGCTCAGGAATGTTCCTTGGGTTCCATAGCTCTCCCTGTCCCCCTCCAAGCCTAGACAATTGGAGAGTTAAGTTTGATTATAAATAAAAACTAGATTTAAAAAAAAGTAAGAATTTTAGAAAGCATAATTATGACTGGGGAGTTGATAAAAAACATCTTACCCTTTTGCTAAACAAATTGAAATAATTTTCAAACTTTAATACTATCACAGTTTATATTAAGACCTTAGTAAAACAGGGTTTGGTAAAATAACATTTTAAGATTTTGCTTTCTTACTTTTTAAAATTGGTTAAAGAGCGTGTTTTTATGTGCCTGGGAGTTCTGTGGCAAAAGATAGAATGGTGTCATACTCTACTGCATTAGGAACACTGCAAGTTATATTTGTAAGCAGTTCTGGAAGCTAAGAAGTCCAGAATCAAGCTGCTGGCATCAAATGAGGACCTTGAGTCATCACAGAATAACTGTTCTTCAAAGTTTAGGTTGAGTACTAAATTCATCCTTCATGTGACTTTAAAAGGTAGCAGTTGCCGTCAGACCATCCTGTGGCATTTTAACTAGCCACTGAACCCTTACAGACAGCAGTGATGCAGTTATACCTAGCATGTCAAGCAAAGAGCTTTTTGAAACTTGGTCCTGAAATACTGCTGTTAAATATACAGCGAACTGTGTGGCTGGGTCTAAGAGTAATTGGGTTTTTTGTCATTGTGTGTGGGAAGGTGGGCTCACTCATGGCACACACATGTAAAGGTCAGTGTCAGACTTCAAGTATTGTCCCTCCCATGCACCCTGTTTGAGGCAATGTCTCTTTTGTTGCTGCTAAGTGTTGTCAGGCTAGCTGGCCTGCAAAATTTCATAACTCTCCTGTCCCAACCTCTCTTACTTTAGGAGTGCTGGGATTACACATGCCTGCTATCACATTTGACTTTAGTCCTTACAATTGCATGGCAAACACTCTACCCAATAAACTATCTCCCCAGTCCCCAAAAGTCAAGTTTTCAAAATGTTTATACTTTCGAACAGATGGAAGATATAAGATGTTTGCTACATTACCTAGTGACATAAACGGAAAACAATCTATAGACTTTGTACAAAAATACTGTCCTTGCCGCCCTCTTCTTCCTGTCAGGATATATGTGTGACACTTTTATTTAGGAGGAGGGGTATAGTACAAGGTGAGACATGGTCTCACTTGGTAGATCAGGTTAGCCTGAAACTTGCAGTTATCCTGAGGGCTAGCATTTCAGGAATGTCTCCTAAGAAGCACTTTTCAAACACAAAATGGAATCCCTCCCTAATTCTATTGACACATACTGTTTTGTTGTCTCTCCTAAGAAGTCATCGGTCCCCATTCTTCCTAGCAACAATTCTTAATCTTGGTTCTCCAGTCTGATCCACATCAAGTGTGCATTTTGGTTAGTGGTAAGGGGTGGAGTGGAATGGACGTCAACCCCACAGGCTTGGGCCTGCCTGCATGCACTAGAGCAGCACCCCTTCACCTCCAATGCTGCCTGCAGTATCTTCATTCCCAGTATGTTCCTCTTCTGAATTCCTGTCAAATTAAAAGCACTAACCTCAAACTGAAGCAGAAAGGTCACACGCAGTCTCTTTCTATACATTCTATCTGAGCTTTCTCCCGCTGTTGTGTACTTTACTTCTAATTCAGTTTGGGGACAGGTGATATTTTGAGTCCAGTTAGCTATATACCTACAGAGGAAAAGAATCTTGTCATTTCAAGGGCATCTCTGACAAACTGACCACTCTATTGTCTAGTTCTGAAGAGCATTACCAGAAATGACTTCGATTTAAACTTTTTTCAGTTCAATTATGGAAGGTATATAAATTTAAATTTTTCTCTCTTTTTTTTTTTTAATGGGTTTTTGGGACAGGGTGACACAATGCAACCCAGCTTAGGCTCTCAAGATTTAACATGCTGTTTTCTTTGGTTTCCAAAGTTTATCACTCCCCACACACAGAGGACCAAAAACTGTTATCATCGTTACATTACTGACTCCTGAATCCCTAGCCTTAAACATCTGTCTCTGCCCCAGCATGCTTGCTTGCCTTCGTTGTAACTGATTGGTGCTGCCATTTTTTTTTCTATCTTTACCAAATATTTTACATTAATTACTCATATTGTCTCTCAAAATCCCACTAGTTTTCCCTTGTAACCACTTCTCTACTCTTTATAATATACTAGAAACCAAAATTTAAAAATGAGAAAGCCAAGAATAAATATCAGGTTTGCCTTTACCTGGTCATCCCTAGCACATAAGCACTAGAACCCACAACAATATAGAAGAGTAAATATATATATATATACCCATGTATATGCATGGAGGGAAAAGCTAGAACATCCATCAATAATAGCATAGATCTATGTAACTTGGCCATCTTTCACAC